AGCGGTGCCGCCACGACTGCCACTACTCGGGAGTTAGTCTCAGCCTTCCAGAGACACAAGACTTTCCATTGGTACGCCGACAACCCAGAGCTGAGGAATTATTGGTCAATTTCCAAAGAATGAATCACAGCAGATCAGGAAAATTAAAAAAAACTACCTTAAGCAACTACGCCACAGTGATGTGATGACAAAACTGATGAAGGAGGAGGCTTCATCAAAAAGGCGGCCATTTCTGAAAGGAAGATGGTCACGGAAAGAAAGTATTCTGTTTTTTTTTAATGAGGAATGATCATTTTTAACAGGAGTACTGCATACGGCACATTATACGCCTGTGGACAAACATACAGCAACAAGCAAAGACCTTGTTTTAACTTTGACCTTGATTTATGACCTTGAGGCAATTAAACTTGTACACCACTCCATGTAGTGAAAAAAAAAAAAAACAGCCTTTGTTCTACCTTTGCTGAAGAGAGGTGACCCCACCTCACTGAACAATTGTCGAACAATCTCTAAACTCTGTATTTTAGCCAAGGTTCTAGAAAAACTGATAAACTCTCAAATCAAAAAGTATTTGGACTATTCTAACATCTTACCTCTCCAATCTGGTTTCTGGAAACAACAGCACAACCACTGCTTCACTGAAGGTTCTTAATGACGTTGTTGAAGCACTGGATGCTAAGGATTGTGCTGCACTTCTCTTAGACCTGTCTAAAGCTTTTGACACTGTGGATCAGAACATCTTGTGTCATAAGCTCTCAGAAATCAGTTTCTCAGATCACACCATTGGTTGGTTCTCCATCTTTCAGATCGGAGGCAATGTGTTCAACATAATGGTACTTCCTCCAGTTATTTAACAGTCAACAATGGTGTACCACAAGGCTCAGTCTTAGGACTCACCCTATTTACAATTTGCATAGGTAATGTAGGTCAGAGCATCCCTGATGCATCTTTACATTTCTATGCTGATGACGCAGTTGTTTATTGCAGAGCTAAAACGGTTGAAAAGGATTTTCAGCTTTTGCAATCTGCTTTTGACATCCAATCAGATTTGTTCCATCTCAAACTTGTCCTAAACGCTAACAAAACCTGATTTTATCTTCAAATGGTGTCCCTGTTGAGTTTGTCAATTCCTACAAATATTTGGGTATCTTGGTAGACTCGCATCGCTCTTAAGCTTCACGTGGAAAACCTAGTAAGGAAACTGAAAGTTACTGGGGGTTTTTTTCTCCCTGAAATAGATCCTGTTCAACTCTGAATGCTAGGAAACATCTTGCAACTGTGACTTTCCTTCCATTGATTACAGTGACATTATTTACATGAATGCTCCTACAAGAACCCTGCAGATGTTGGATGCTGTCTATCATGGTGCACTAAGATTCATAACTGGCTGTGATTATCGTACCCACCACTGCACCCAGTATTCACTGGTTAACTAGACATCATTAACTTCACGCAGACTCTCCCACTGGTATATTTTCATCTTTAAACCACTTCTTGGTCTGCTGCCTTCATTCATCTCCTCCTACATGTCTCTGCGTGAGTGCAGCTACAGCGTGCACTCTCAGGACATTATTACCTGCAGTGTTCCCTCAATGAGGACTGAACTAGACAGAAGGGCCTTCTCATACTCCGCTCCTGTTTCCTGGAATTTCTTACAAAAAGATTTGAAGCTCTCGACCTTGACCTCTCCAAGTAACTTTAAACATCTGTTAAGTTCATGGGAAAAACCAATGCAGACATGTTCCTGTTTTTAGTTTTCTACATTCGCCTCATAATCTAGCTGGGTTTTTTTTGGCTACTTTTTCCTTTTAATTATGCTTTTTAATTACCATTTTATTTTCACTTGTTAAAAAAATAAATTTGTACGAATCCTTTAGGATTGCCTATTGTTGCTGTCGTCCACTGTTGTCATCACTTTGTTAAAATTCAGGTCTCTCTTGTAAATGAGTCCTCGAGGCTCAATGGGATTAACGTGTATAAATAAAGGTTGAATGAATGATAATGGATGGGTGCATGAAATTTCAATAAATCACCTTGAGCAGATACGAAGTCGTGGGCAGGACAAGAGAAAGTTTGCAGACGTACGTCGACGACACCATAATGTCCGTCTTTGACGGGCGTATATAAATCAGGGCTGCCGACGGCCAATTTATGAAGCCAGTTTGTTTTTGGCTCATAAATAAAAATCAGTTTAATAGTCACATACATTACAATGTACCAAGTTTATGTTTGCTGGTGGTTTAGGGCGAATGACGAGCCCACCCTCCCCTCAGTGGTTTCAGCGGAGCTCGGAGTGGGCAGCCGGCCAGATGACACAGCCGACAGCACACTGCATCTTTGTCTCTTCAGCGAGGACAGCAACAACGCCGCGGCCGGCGACCCCCGCAAGATTGTAGTGACATCTGGCACGAGAATAGTGCGCCGTTATCAGCTGGAGCACTTAGCAGGAGAACACAGCAGAAAGGCCCTCTTCACCTCTGCCTCGAGGTGTCCGTCAAGGAGCCAAACAAGAGCCTCTCCGAGCTCCATTCTCCGTGTGATGTGACCCGTGCAGTTAATCCACAGAAATCCAAAGGAACCGTGAGCTCAGGTGGTTAAACTCTAAACAGCCGGTCTCCTTCAAACGTGGCCTTTAGTGTGTGAAATCACACCTTTGCCATTTCCCCCCACAAAGCTTGAAAAATGTTTGCAAAAGGCAGCTGTGGGAACTAAATGTGATTTGTGTCTGCTGAGAGAAGCGGCAGGGGGCCCCGACGTGATGAAAAGCAAATACATGAATTTAACAAGTCATGCTACAAACATCTCATTAGATTTAAAAAAGAAATAAAAATAAAAAGAGGATTTTCTGAACTGTTAGGATTTCACAAACTAAATGTTCAGAAACGGATGAATCAAAAGTAAAAAAAAGTGATAAACTGAGTACAAACCTTAATAAAATTGGAAAAACTCGTTTTAAATCTATTTCTTGTTTTAGTGAACTGATAAATGGGTCTATAGACCAAGATTGCAAAGGTGTCATAATAAAAAATTTAAAAAAAAAAAGGAATTTCTGTTAAAATCCAAATCAGCATAACAAATCTGATGAGTGCAGCTATTCAATAAGAAGCCGCATAAATTAAATTCTTAAATATCTGCACATCACCCTCCACCTTTCAAGTCAAGGGGTTAAACTAAGAACTCATGTTGCAAAATGACATCATCAAATGTAAACACGTGCCATCTCACAAGATCTGTTGGCGTACGTGCTGCAAATTGTAGCTCAGCGTCCAGTGGTTCATGAAATATTTTGCTAACAGACAATAATGACAAGGCTTTGATTAAAGAGTTTCTTCATCTAAACGATGTTCAGCTAACAAGAAGTTAGTGGTAAATTATTTAAACCCGTTTGTTTTATAAGACCAGGGAGGAGAAAAAAAATCATCATCGCCTCTCGGCTGATTCAAATCCCAATAAATTGTTTATTTTTAATTCATCTCAGTGTAAATCAGAATAAATGCTTTAAAAGCCGCCGATGCAGGAATGAAAACAAGATAACTTACATTTTGTCATTTTCCAAAAATCTTTTTTTTTATGTGCCTATTTCACCAGCTATCACTCATCAGCCGTCACACGCCCTGAAGGGGCCACCAGGGGCCACCTGGCACCCTCAGCAGGAGGAGAGGAGGAGGAGGAGGAGGAGGAGGAGGTGTCAAAACCAGGCAGAAACACACTCAGAACCACAGCCTGCAGGCATCGTTCACTTCAGCTGAACACATAATTCAAGCTCATGGGATAATGTCACCCATTCATCATTTTCAGAGGGAATTAATTGAAGCAGGAGCCCTCTCCTCCTGGTCCTCCTCCTCCTCCTCCTCCTCAACCCCCCACCATCATTCTCTCACACCTGCGACAGCCTGTCAGTTTGGGCCTGATTTGCATGGAACATAAAAACTTAAGCGCGCGTCTTGTTAGAACACACTTCCAGTCGTCTTCGGCTGTTTATTGGCTGCGGTTCATCCAAACGTAGTTCCTCCTCACCGGGATCTGCGTTTTAAAGAGTTGCCCTTCGTTACTCCTGCAGGAGGACTGGAACAGAACCAGTCCTCACTGCAGAACACCAGCGCCGCGACCGGATCCGGGTGAAGCGCGCAGTCAGTTAGCGTCTGAGCACAAACATTATCACCCGCCGCCGAAGGCGAGATGTTTTTAGCCACGTCTGTGTTTAGCTGTTCGTGGAATGAGCTAAACATCTTGAACATGTGATTAACATGCGACATGAACCCGAATCAACATGGCCGACACAGCTGAACAAATGCGAGCACAAACGTGGCTTTAGCTCGTTCTTGTGGTAGTAGCTGACAGTCATCCCCTACACATACTCCAAACACAACACAAAGTGCGACATTAACCGTTAAAGACGGCTCTGTTAGTAAAATATCTCATGAATCATTTGGAAGATTTCTGTGAACCTCAACAAAAAAAACAGCCAATTCAAGATGGCCACCACATGTGACATCAGCCAACACAGGAATGGCTCACGAGCTAAACTTTGGTGTGGTAGTAGCCGAGAGTCATCCTAAACACAACGAACCGGCATCAAAATGTGGGAAAAGGTGAAACGCCCACACCTGCCTCCACACTCTGGGCCCTTGAGCAAGGCTCCTAACCTCCACCATCTGCTCCCAAACAGGTCTCTGAGACTCGATGAGACTACCTCTATAGATAAAGGTTTAAAAAAAAAACAACACTAATATGAGCCTTTAATTTAAGGTCGAGTGCATCTTTAGAAAATAAAAACATCTGCAACTTTTCCTCATTTGGTTCATTCTTCTGTTGCTGCAGTCCGGGCTGAGGTTTCATTGCTTCACGCTGCAGCGGGATTCATTTAAAAAGTGGAAACGCTGCAACGACAGAACCGGTTTACTCAAAGTGCCATCGGAGCAGGTGGGTTTGGACCGAACAAACGCTCCGCAGAACATTTCAGGCGTCCACATTCGTCTGAAGAAACAAACCAAACTCACCGGCCACGCAAACTGGAAGGGGATCACAATCTTGCCGGCATCGTCGATTTTGTTGGCGTTGTTCTTGGACTTGAAAGAAAACGAATTTCCGCCCAGGACCTGCGTGGACCCGGCTCCGAAGCTGCACGGGCCGCCGGTGGTGACCTCCACCTGGTACTCCTTCAGGCACGCTCGGAGGTAGGTGTCGCACTCGTCCCGGGTGCAGCGCAGGTCCGGGGAGCTCCGGGCGCCGTCGCAGCACTCCCCGTCCGCCCGCTCGCCGTTGATGTTCTCCACGGAGATCAGCTGCAGCTCGAAGTAGCCCGTCGACTGGGACACCTGGGAGAGACACGTCCAAACAAACAAACAAACAAACAAACAAAAAGGACGCAGGTCAGTTTAAAGCTGATATGTTTTGTTCTGAACAATAATTGTTCATATTTTTGCCGTTTCAATCCAAGTAAAATCGAAAGCCGTTTAAAAGCGATTTTCTTAGAGATGTTCATGAAAAAGCAGGGGCGTAGCTAAAAGGGGGGCCTGGAAGGGCCATGGCCACCAGCCTAACAGCTTACATTTTATTTGTTCTTTCTTAGCATTTGTGTAAAATAATAAATAAAAAGACACTTCAACTGTAATCATGTAAATTGGAGGTAGTGATTTATCAGTCGAAATAAACAAGTTAAAATTTATAATAGTCTTCAGCTGTGCCGTACACAACTACCAGTAATCAAATAATAATTAGGAAAATAAAGAATCAACTACGTCAAACAGCTCCCAATTTTTGTTTTTAAACAAGAACGCTCTTAATTTAACTATTTTTAAAAAGTGTACAAATTCCTCTAAGGATTGTTGAGTATATATTTATTGTTATATTTTGTTAAATAAATAAAATATATACTGACGAAGAAAAAAAAAAAAAAAAAAAAAAAAAAATCAATCGACCTCAAAAACCCCAATTTTAAAAATAAATAAATGTTTATTTAGAGTCCGGTAATAAAATTTACTCGGTATTCATTCTGACCATTGGATAATTTAGAACATTCATTAAAAAAATATATGTTTTCTGCAACTTTAATGAGAATATCTTTTTTTTAAATCTTGAGATTATATCAATTTGTGCAGAATGTTACATGTTTTCCCTACATTGTGTTTAATTTATCATCAACTTACTCAGAATCTTGAACTTTAAAATACAATTACTTTAATTTTTCACCTTTGTAGATAATCCAATTTATAAAACTCAATTTTAACTCGATACATTTAAGTATGTTAGAAAAGCCAATTAGTGAGATTTCAAAGGAATCGAGCCTCAGCGCTCCATCCTGGGCAGCGTGTTGGTGACAGTGGGAAGAAAAGACCCTCTCAACAGGAAGAAACCTCCAGCAGAACCAGAACCAGGTTCAGTTTCACAGGATGTGGCTCAGCCAATCAGAATCTGCCCTCGTCCGTCTTCAGTATTGAAGCATCTTTAAAATTTTGAGGGTCATCCGTCACACTTTAACATTTAAAAACACCTTTATTCAGCTTTACATTTTTTACTCGCTTCCCTGTTTTGGGTTGCAGGAAGCTGGTGTTCATCTCCAGCTGCCTGTGCGAGAGGAAGGGGACGCCCTGGACAGGTCTCCAGTCCATCACAGGGACACAGACATTCACTCTCATACAATTTAGAGTTACCAGTGAACCCAGCGTGACGGGTCTGTGGGAGGAAACCAAAGTGCCTGGATCAAACTCACGTGTGCACGAGGAGAACCTAATCAGGCTGGGAGGCAAACCCGTGACCTTTTCAGCGCGAGGCAACAGCTCCAAGCGCTGCACCACTGTGACGGTTGAAGACGCAGCGTTTTACGGAGACAACTGACAGAGATTTTTCTTGCAAACATGTTTTAGTCGAAACGAAGACATCATCAGCGGATAATAAAAGCGATAAAACTCGTTACCAACTCCAGGCCCGCTCGGCTGGAATCAGCTGAATTTACCGACCCCGCTCGCGTATTTTACCATACTTGAAAAGTTTGCAGGATTTTGCAAAAGTTTATTTTTATTTTAAGATAAACCTCCTGGACAAGGTTACGCTTGTAACTTAAAAAAAAAAAAAGTTTGTGAATCACAACTTTAAATAACAGATTTATAAGAATAAAACGCTTAAAATGGAAGCTCTGTGAAATCTGGGGGTGCCCCCCACCGCCACCCTTTCAATCAGGCCCACCTGTCCACTCCTCCCTGGCTACGCCACTGCTCCACAGCAACTTTTGCGCCTCAGGTGAACCTCCTGCAGGATTTATTTTTTATTCATATCCGAGGCCTCATTTCCCCCCAAAAGGGACTCTAAACTCAAACCAAATGATCGGAATCAATCGCGGGTTGTCCAATTAATCGATTAATCGCTCGAGCTGCCGCCGACGTGCAGCCTCCGCCCACCAACTTTGATCCGCGGCGTGAGGAGGGAGAAATAAATGAGCTTTAATGGAGAAATTATTTCATGTTACAGAGAATTAGCTTCTTACCTCCGTCCATAGCGTCAACAGCAGGCTCAGTACCGGGAGGAGACTCCTAATCCTGCTGCGATTCCACATGTCTCAGATTAATTAGAGTGACATGAGAGGGAGGAGAGAAGAAGAAAATTAAAAAAAAAAAAAAAAAAAAAGACGAAGAGCCGCGCGGACCCGGCGACCAGTTCCTCCTCTCCTGACATCCAAAACGTTCACATGCGGGGTCCGGATTTCAGCGAGGCAGGCGCTGCGTGCGTGCGCGTGTGTGTGTGCGCGGGTGCAGGCGGGTGTGATGGTTTCCACGCACAGTCAGGAGTGTCCCTCCGTCCAATCTCGCCACACAGCAACTGAGATGTGCCGTCGCGCCGCCGCAGCCTGAGGAGAGGACGTCTGCTGTGATTGGCAGCTCCGCAGACCAATAAGAAATCGAGCTGCGTAAACGGTTTAGCCAATCGGATTTAAGGGGGCGGGCGATAGTAAAATCACCTCCTCTTCTTCAGAAAACTTTAATTCTGCTTCATCTAACCCTCAGTTTATAAAAATCACTGTTTCACCTGACGTGCCTGATGAAAAACACTATTTATTAACATGTTCATCCAGCATAAACTACTTATTTTAAATGTATGTAGTCTGAATTTAAAAAAAAAAATCAAATTTAAATGCCTTTTTTAATTTTATTTAACTCCATTGTCTTTACTTTTACAAAACTTTCCAGTCGAGTTATTTAAAAACAGACAATGCAACATTTACCAATAAAAGACACGTTTCTTACCGTCTCTCCGAGCAATTATGGTTCATATCGAGCCACATAATCTACCGGACTGTACTTTTTTATGAATTTACTAATTTTTTCTGGCATTGTGACCTTTTATTAATTATGTTTTTAATATTTCTTTGAGTGTGTTGGCAAAAAAAGAACAAAGAAATTATGTTTTTTTTTTTTCAAAAAGTTGTATAAAGTGAGACGCTGAACTAGCCGATCGCCATCCTTAAATCCATTTTAGTGAAAACTTGAAGCATTTTTTTGCTGATTCTGATGTGATGTTGTGTCTACTAATGTTTACTAAATACTGTTTAAAAAATAAACTGGGTTCCAAACATACTTTTACTTTAAGTGTCATTCTGCTGCAGACACTTCCAGCGTATATTGCAAAAATGTGGATTGCTACGATTACCATTTCTCGCTGTCAAGAAAACAAACAAAAAAAACCTTTTTTTGTCAAAGTAGTCACCTCAGAGGGGCCACGTGTGGCTCCAGAGCCGCAGCTTGAAGACCACTGACTTAAACAGACTGCAAAGCAGAGGTGGACTTGAACTAGACGCAGCCCGGAGGGGCCCAGTCGTTAGCCTCGTCCCTCATGTTGACAGGAAATTAAATGTATCCCTGAACCTCAACAAATGGTTCAGTTTGAAAAAGCTTCCTGCAGAAGTTTCCCAGATTTATTGACAAACAATCCTGAAATGCGGGTAGGCGCTCAGCGTAAACAAAGCGCTGTCCGGGTTGATTTTAAAGCTTTTTGTCTTTAGTTTTATGCGTCTTCATGGTTTCATCAGACCTGCTCCTGTGCCCTCACACCCGCTCAAGTCGGTGGATCAGTTCCTGGTGGTCCCAGAGACTAAAAGGAGGTCCAGGGGTGACCCGCGCTGCCTGTTCATAAACAGAGTCAAGAAACACATTTTAATGCAGATCAAGATTTTGATCATTTTTATGATTTTGTTGTTTTATTTTTGTTTGTTTTGAATTCTTGTGTGTTACTCTTTAATCGGTGTGCAGCACTTTGCTCAATGGTCTGAGCTGCAGCTGCTGCTCCCCAGTTTCTTAAACTGGGGCCTTGTGGGTCATTTTGGCTCGAGGGCAGCAGGAGGGTTGAACTGTGGGTGTTAATTTGTGTTTTTAGACATTTATTTAGAAATCGGGGAAGCCAATGGCTGACATGACAGATATTTTTCATCCAGTGTGTGTTTTTATACATATTAAACACAACAACACCAAGTCATCCGTTAATCTAGTTGTCTTTATGGATTCTGATTATAACAACAAATTTAAAAATTGATAATAGAAGTAAATGTCTCACTTGTCACCATCGTCTCCTCAGCTCTGGGTTGGCTCAGTCCAGCTCAGCTGAACACCATTAGCTCATTAGTCAGAACCTTCAGCTGTGGAGGAAAGCTAAAGTTTGATTTCTTGAAGTCTTTGATATGTTCTGCATCGTTTTCTGACAAACACAACAGAAGAAAGGAGCTTTGCATGATTTTAGAGCGCGATATATCAACAGGTTTATAAAAAAAAAGTGTGGGGTTCATTACACCAACTTATGCTTGTTGACTCTATAACATAATCAGGCGCATGTTTGGATCAAAACATCAAATCTGTTGGATCCGAATGACTTTTCTGTGAACGTTTCTGACGTGTTTTCAGTCACTTCTGCTGTTTCAAGTCTCAAACTTTGCTTCCAAAGTTTTATTATAAGGACATTAACGCTCAATATGAGGAGAAAAAAAAGTTGTTTTTTTAACTTTATGAATTCCACCGATAAGTACTTTTAGTTACAGCCTTCATTAGAATTTATGATTATTTTTTCATTCTTCCACACATTATTCTTTAAACTTCAATGAATAATCTTAAACCTGAACAAACGTTTGTGATCTATGATAGAAATTCAATAATTGTGATGAAAAAAGTTGTTGTTGGGTTACTAAATCTATAAAGAAAACGCTGCTGTCGCTAAATTATGATGTACTGTGAGGAAACCTTTTGAAGTTTTGTTCTAATTTTTTTTATACAACAATATTTGTTTTTGTTTATTTTCAGAAATAAAATGTCAAACTGGTTCTGAAAGAACAGAACTGAGAAGCTTTACAGCAGCTTAGAGCGCCCTCTAGTGTCCACTGAACACACAACATAAACAAAGATTAGATAGATAGATAGATAGATAGATAGATAGATAGATAGATAGATAG